GGTGGGCGGGAATACCAAGCTGAATGCCCTTCTGGAGGACCCTGGGATCCGGAAGAGGTGGTTTCCTCACAGAAGGGGCACCCAACTCAGGAAATTTCAGAAAAAGATTGTTGAAGGAAGTATCTTTGAACTACACCTTGAAGGAAGTGGGTCAGGTATGGGCAGTGCAGGAGTGATTCTCCAAGCAGTGGAAACAGTGCAGACTGAGGCCAATAACACCCACGAATTCACATATTGGATTACATTGCACATGCAAATCGGCTCTGAATCATTCACCCACGAGCCCCTGATACTTCTATCTGTAAAATGGGGACGTTAACCCTTCCTAGCTACATCAGTGAAAATTAAAAAAAGAATATCAAAGAGCTACATGAACTGGGAAGTCCCATTAGCACTATTATGAAAGAAAAGCGTTGTACAGGACTCTGACAAGATTCAGCTCCGTGATAACAGTGTCATGTGGCAGAAAGAATCCCGCCCAGGCTTTGCCACTAATCCGCCATCTGTCCTCTGCCATACCTGCCCTATAGGCTTCACTTTTCCTCATCTGTAAAATCAGTGACTCGGACCAAGAACTGTAAGTCCCTTCTACTGCTGCCATTTTAAGTCCCCTTTAAGTTTAACTGGCAGTAACAAGCTCACAACTCCCCACCCCCAGACTATTTCTTTATTCATTCCTAACCTTTACCTTGGCAGACGAAGCATAAGATTCATCAAGCATGTTAGACAACCCATGGCACATTTCCTGTTTTCCTGTGTCCCCTCTGCAGGTCACAGACACACAGAACCCAGCCTTTCCAGAGCTCAGACCGGACAGCGCTGAGGGCCAGTTAACAAAGGCCGCTCTCCTCCCAGGAGCCAAGGAAAGTCCTGAGCGGAGGTCAGGGTTGTTTGCTTGGAAGCGTGCTGGGGATGAAAGGCACCTTGGAAGTGAAAAGCTCGGTCATTTATTAATTAATTATAATTGAGGGTTTGTTCTTAAGAATGATTCCTTTGAAATTACTTTCCATCAAACAGTGACTGTCACAAAAGCATCAGATACTCAGAACATTCTCCATTTCCTTAGCCTCAGTATTGTTATTCTGGGACCTGAGATTCTGTTCTGATCTGGCTCTTCCCTTGGGAGTGTCTCCCACCCTCCCTTTAAGAGCTGGGATTTGTTTATTGCATGAGGTGAGGCCAGGGGAAGGGGGTGGGGTCTGTGTGTTTGTCCACTTTTTAAAAGAAAATCTATGCTACAGGAAATAACCTTTTTGTGGACTATAATCTGACCCTTTCCAAATAAATGAACAATGAAAAAACTCCGTGGAAAGATTAGAAAGACACCTGAGACTAATACCCGACTAATGTCGTGGGCCACACCTCTGGCTTACAACTGGAAGGGAGAAACAAACTGGTCTATCGATGTGGCTCTAAACAACAACAATGTGTGAAGGCCCGAGGCACTTCAGGATTGACCAAGAGGAAACACACGTTGCACAATGATAGGATCTTGTTGGTACAGTTGTCAGAGAAGGGAACTCCCACAGCGAAGGGCATAAAACCATCCAGGGCAGTCTGGGGCAGCTCAGTGCTGCAGTGCCAGGGAGCAGAGCAGAGCCCGGCCCTGCCCCACACACAGATGGGACCATGACCTCCTGGGGCAGCTTCGGCCAGAGCCCCTCTGGCTCCCCTCATGGCACAGGAGGCGGCTGGGGTCGGCCTGGGAGGTTCCCCCGGGCTCCCAGCGTCCATGGGGGCGCAGGGGGTGTCCGCGTCTCCCTCTCCTTCCCCTCGCCAAGCTGCCCGGCACCTGGAGGGTCTTGGGGGCCTGGAAGAGGCAGTTCCCTCGTAAGTGGAAATGGGAAGGTGATGATGCAGAACCTCAATGACCGCCTAGCCTCCTACCTGGACAAGGTACGTGCCCTGGAGGAGGCCAACGTGAAGCTCGAAAGTCGTATCCTGAAGTGGCATCAGCAGAGAGAGCCTGGCAGTAAGCACGATTATTCCCAACATGAAGAAAACATCAGTAGCCTGCAGGAGCAGGTAAGATGCTGGGTGACCCTGGAACTCGAGAGGGGGCTGCATTTCCAGGGAACACCATGGGAGGAGAAATCAGTACTTAAGACAATTTCCAGGAAAATGGCAAAAGAGCTTAAAGTAATTGTGAACAAAGGTATTTGAGGATATTTTCTTATTATACCTTAAATTTAGGCTTGGGAAAGTCTGTTTTGTTTATTCAATCTTCCATACATAAATTATGTGGAAAATCTAAAACATCTAAGGCATCCAGCTGCTATCCAGTGTCCCTTATGAGCCAACATGGTAAGAGTAATGATAAGGGCTGATACTCATTCCTCATGTTCAGTGCACAAGGCGCAAGACAGCATTTACTGTATTACATCAGTTCTGCTCCACCTCAAAGAACTGGCAACAGCGTGATTATCCAGTAAAGAAAGACTGAGTTATATTATTTTGGAGATCACCCTAAAAGCTGTCACTCCACTAGCAGATACATCATTGTGACATCCCTGGATATTTCCTCTTGGGGGCTGCTAGAAGTTCTGAGCTCTAGATGTTCACAATTCTGAAAATGGCATATTGCTAGAAAAAATATAATAAAATGAACATAATTTTTGGAGTCTTAGAGTTCAGATGGGTTATGGAGATTTCTTCAAAAAACAATTTTTCAACCAAACACTTAAAAAGTTAAGTTTATGCCTTCTAGGATGTCTCATAACACTGGCTAGAAGTAGGCCCCCCTACTTTAGTCGTCTCCTAGGTTATTTTTTAAAGCTGTATAACTTCCCTCTTATGTGAAGCGGTCCCAGAAAATTTCCTGCAAGATTGTAATTTAACCTATCCTAGAAAGGGCATCACAGGTTTTCAATCTTTATAAGATATTATTTCTCAACACTCAGTCATCCTTGCTTGAATGTAGGGAGGACCAATCAAGATAATATAAATCTGTTCTCATAATAAACCCTAATTATTGAATAATCAACCTAATAACTGACTGTGTAATTACTTTAACTATATAGTACATGGTTGTCTTTACAAAAGAAAAAAAACAAGGTGACTCAACAAACCTCACCATATTTTTTTCGTTAATAAAGCTGCTTTGGTTTTAGAATGGAGAATAGAGGATTTTTGCAAATAGACAGCTGAGAACATATCTTCCCCTCAAAAATGTGAGGTTATACCCGGTCAAATAATTTATTGGCTAACAGCGGAGAGAAGGACGGAAAGGGAGAAAAAGGAGGGAAACATTTATTACCACTTACTGTATGCCAAGCATCGTGTTGAGTGTTTCACACACTTATCAGTGCCATCCCAAAGCTTTTTGCAATGATGGAAATGTTCTATATCGCCTGATTTAATTCTCACAACAACCCTGGATAAGAACTAAAGCTCAGAAAAGTGGAATTGCCATCCAAAGTCACCAGCAAGAAGCTGGGATTCTAACCCAGGTCTGTTTCCAATGGCCTCAATTTCCATCAGGATGGTCTGACTAGCCAACCTCATACCACAGTGATACTGTTTATTGTTGATGTTTAATTACATTCGTGTTGTTAATCATACAACACGTATTTCATACACATTACTCCATTCTATGAAGCAGGTATTTTTATCCCCAGTAAGTAGATGAGCAGACTGAGACTGAGTGGTTGCTTAAATTCTTTGGAGCAGAACTGAGAAGAGTGAGTGAGGCCAGTGCCAAGGAGGGGGCGGCTTACCCTGTCCAGGCAGCCTGGGATTCTGGTTCTGACATTAAATAGGAAGCTT